CTCCTTTTTTCCTTCTCCTTTTCGCAAAACAAATCTTGCTGCCAAGCAAACTCAGCCGTGGATGGTTTCGTGTTTGGGTGGATTTTTTTTTTAAAAAAAAAACATTTCTTTTTATTATTACTGTTATTGTTGTTTTTCCTCTTTTTTTCTTTTTCTTTTTCTCTCTCTCTCTTTTTTTTTTTCCAGTCCTTCCGGAAAAAATCTCTTCTTCTAACCCTCTTCCCCCCTCCGAACGGCAGCCCCTCGACAGTCGCAGGTGAAATGGCGCTCGATTTCCTCTTTTTTTTTTTAATTATGATTAGGTTTTGTTTTTGTTTTTTTCCCCCTGGTGGTTTTGTTTTGTTTTTGTGTTGTGGTTTTTTTTTTGTTTTTGTTATTTTTTTTCTGCCTTTCTCTTTTCTCACTCACAAGCAGGAACTTCACCGACTGGTTCTTGCATCAAAGCGTCGTCTTCTGGATTGGCAGGACACACACACGGAGCGAGTCGGAACCTTCGGCCGCAGTGAAGTTTGCTGGTTGTGGCTTTTGTTTCGTTTTTCACCGTCTTGGCTGTTTTATTTCCTCTTCTGAAAATAAAGACATTCCTGGGAAAGGAAGAGGAAGAGGAGGCCAACAATCTCACGGGGAAGGCTCACCAAAAGGGTTGGGAATTTAGGCTGTGTCCCTACTCCCCACGGAGTTGGCAAAGCATCCAGGAGTGGTTAGGTCCTCGGTGCTCTCTGAGGCTGGGGGGTCTTCTTGCAGACGTTTCACGACGCAACAGGGTAACTTCATCAGTGCTTGAAGGGAGAAGGGTTTACAGGGAGGAGGAGGAGGAGGAGAATGACTATGGGGTCCTGGGAGCTCTCTGAGTTTGGGGGTTTCCTTGCAGATGGTTCATGACCCAATGAGGGAACATCATCCGTGCTTGAAGGGAGGCGGGTTCACAGCGAGGAGGAGGAGGAGGAGGAGGAGGAGGAGGAGGAGGAGGAAAAAGACAAAAACAAAGACAAAGAGGAGGAGGAGAAGGAGGAGAAGAAGAAGAGGAAGAAAAGAAGGAAAAAGAAGAAGAGGAGAAGGAGGAGGACAAGAGGAGGAGGGGAAGGAAGGCGGGTACACAGGGAGGAGGAGGAGGAGGAGGAGGAGGAGGAGAACTGTGGGATCCTTGGTGCTCTCTGAGCTTGGGGGTTTCCTTGCAGACGTTTCATGACCCAACGAGGGAACTTCATCAGTGCTTGTGAGTATTGGGTTTGCTCCGTTGTATATAAACAGAGTGTCTTGCCCTGTCAATATTGGTGCTTACTTGATTAGGTCCTTGGGGAACTACCAAGTCAGAGAAACCATGACACAAACAGTAAGCCACAGCCTAATCAAGGAACCACCAAGAGGGGAAGAAAAAAGAAACACTGCCGCCAACACTGACAGGACAAGCCGGTTGTATATAAACAGAAGCAAACCCTCCTCCCTTCTAGCCCTGACGACGTTCCGTAGTTCGGTTGTGAAACGTCTGCAAGGAAACCACCCAGCTCAGAGAGCACCAAGGACCCCAGTCCATCCTTCCTTCCTTCCTTCCTTCCTTTTCCTTTATTCCTTTTCCTTTCTCTTTCTCCTCCTCCTCCTCTCCAAAAACTGCCCCTCCCTTCTAGCCCTGACGACGTTCCGTAGCTGGGTCGTGAAACGTCTGCGAGGAAACCCCCCAGCTCAGAGGGCACCAGCCGCCATTTTCCTCCTCTCCCTCCTGCCTCCTTCCTTCTCTTTCTCCCTCCAAAATGACCAAGCTCAGAGAGCACCAAGCACCCCACCGTGGACTTCAACTCCCAGAATCCTCTAGCCCGCCTGCTTTGTGGGGAACTCTGGGAGTTTGGGAGTCGGCCCGCCCCAAGTTTGGGAAACCCTGATTTTAACGAAAGAGCGACTTTTCTGAGTAGGAAATGCCTTTGGGTGGCACGCCCTCTGGGAGGTGGGGAGCTACTCACCTGGGACAGGCAGAGCGAAAGAGGCCTCAGCTACCGGAAGAGTCTGGTAAAGTCCCTCAACGCCCAGCAAACTTGTTTACACTCCTCAGCGCTGTGGGAGAAAGAAGGCTGGTCAGTTGCTGTGAAAAGGAGGAAAATAAGATTTTAAGATACCAGGGGTCTCCGGGGTCAGGATTCTGGCATGCAGGGAGGAATGGAGAAGGGAGCAAGGCGGCTTATGGGAGAGAAAGCGGCCCTGATCCCTTTCATGAGCTGCAGCCGGGAGAACGGCATTTACTCCCTTCATAGACTGTTTTTTTGGGAAAAGTCTGATCTCCAGCCGAGGATAATTGGACATTGGGGGCCAAGCTGGAGGCAATAAAGGGAATTTATTCTACTTTGGGGACTTTTGTTATTTTTGTGCCACGCTCCTTTGGGTCATCACAGTAAACACGTCCGGCACTGCCTGGGTGCAGCTGACTCAGAGCCACATCATTCATTGTCACCTCTGACCCTGGTTTTCCCCTCTACCCTCTGGGTGTATCCTAATTCATATCTTCCAATGGGACACATCCATAGCCCAGAGTCCCCAGTCAGGCTCTCTAGTTAGAATTTGGCACGTCAGAAACTTCAGTCACCTAAGTTACTATCTCTGAAAAACTATTTTTTTTTTTCTTTTTAGAGTTGCCATCCACATTCGGCCACTTTTAAGACCTGCAGGCTTCAGCTCCCAGAATTCCCCCAGCCAGCTATGCTGAGGAAGGTAACTAGCTGACGAATTCTGGAGGGGTCAAAGTCACAAGAAGCAGCTTTTTTTCAGCGCCGTTGTAACTTTGAACGGCCGCTGAACGAACGCGGTTGTAAGTCAAGGACCACCTTTTGCCCCTCCCATAAAGAGGAGCGAAAGGGGAGGGAGGTTTGCAGGAGACAGTTAGTTCGTTTAATTAGTGTGAAGATCTGTTCCTGACTTCTTCTTCGCCAAGTCAATGGCTGCTACAACCTGGCGTTGGAAAGCTATCGGCCTGGCGACTCTCCCAGCCTGACGAAGTTCTAGGACTGTGCAACCTCTTGAAAGGCTGTCGGCCGGGACTTTGCCGGAGAGGAATTCACTGTCAATTAAATAAAAAGGGGTTTTATTCGTGCTGTTGGGGAAGCCGAGGTCAGAACAGACTCGACCTGCCCCTGAAATCTGCCGGGGGAGAAAAAAGGAAGGCCACCAGGTGCTGGCATGGGCCTCGTGGGGCGTTGGGAGGCCTGAGAACAAAAAGGCGGCCATCCGGAGGCCGAATGACAGGCGTGGGCTTGCCTGAACTGGTTTGTGTGGGACCAGCAATAACTTCTGAGTGGCACAGCCAGGCTCCAGGACACAACAGGTGCAAGCAGGGTTTGGAAAAACCAGACTAGCAAGTTGGAGGGAGCGCGGGGGGGTCGGGGTGTGTGTGTAGGATGCCAGCAGAGGTTGGCTGAACCCCAGGATCTGCACCCTGACATAGTTTGCCAGGGGACAGAAGATGGCTGTGAAAAAGGGGTCTCCCTTCTTATTTAAGGATTTTAAAAAAATGTATTGATTTTCTGCTCGTTGCATTAACAAACGTTGTGTTGTTGTCTGGGTATTTTAATTTGCTTAGCAATGGAGGTTCCATTCTTACTCTCCACCCCTTTATTTCCAACCACTGGCAAAATAAATTCCATCATCGTCATCTTTAAATGACCTCACAATCCTTCGCGGGGTGGAGGCTGGGCAACTGAATGGAGTTGTTTACTGGCCGGATGCTCTTCCCGTCACCAGGGTGGAGTTTTCTTCAGCAAATATATTCTCACTGTGGCCAGAGAGAGGAAATATCTGCCTCTACCTAGGACTGAACCCACAGCCTCCTGATTATGAGGCGAGAGCGCCACCTCTTAGGCCGCTACAGTATTCGGGTAAAATAAGTTCCCTGTTTGATAATATTCGGTGTCTTCTTTTGGTTTAATTTTTCTTGATTCTTTTGTGTGTTTGTAACCCACTTACAAATAACTCAAGATGGCAAGCACGCACAATGCTCCTTGTGTCTCTTTTCCCCACGCGACGACCCTGTGAGGTGGGATGGGCTAAGAGAGAGAGGCCCAAGGTCCCCCGGTTGGCTTTCAGGCCTAAGGCGGGACTAGAACTCCCAGTCTCCTGGTGATTAGCGTAAAGTCACCCAGTCGGCTTTTAAGGCCTCAGGCGGGACTAGAACTCCCAGTCTCCTAGTGATTAGCGTAAAGTCACCCAATCGGCTTTCAGGCCTAAGGCGGGACTAGAACTCCCAGTCTCCTAGTGATTGGCATAAAGTCACCCAATCGGCTTTCAGGCCTAAGGCGGGACTAGAACTCCCAGTCTCCTGGTGATTGGCACAAAGTCACCCAGTCGGCTTTTAAGGCCTCAGGTGGGACTGGAAATCCCAGTCTCCTAGTGATTGGCCCAAAGCCACCCAATCGGCTTTAAGGCCTCAGGCGGGACTAGAACTCCCAGTCTCCTAGTGATTGGCCCAAAGCCACCCAATTGGCTTTCAGGCCTCAGGCGGGATTAGAACTCCCAATCTCCTAGTGATTGGCCCAAAATTTTACTCAGAAATTTTGATCCCAATTTGTGGCCGTAACTCGAGGACTAGCTGCGTGGTGGCCATGGGATTTATTTTATTCTTTTCCATCCTCCAAAAATCTGTTTTATGTTCACGGAATAATTTTCAGTTGGTGGGGGGGGGGGATTTGGTCCCAGAAGAAGCTTAGCGGCTCCCTGACTGGGATCCGGCGGCTCTCAAGGCTGCCCCCCTCCACCCCGTCCCCAAGCCCCTCCCCCCCCTGACCTGGTGACTTGCTTGTGGAAGTCGGTCAGCTGCTTGTGGGTCACCTGAACGGCTCCCCCCGTGGTCTCCTTCGGCAGCCCCTTCAGGGAGTTCTCCAGCCAGCGGCAGAAGGTCTATCGACGGGGGAGGGGAGAGGGGGAGGGGAAGAGAGATGGCAAGACCCTCTGAGTGACCCTGTCTCCCTGCCACCCCACCCCTCTGCCAAAAGGGAGGGGGGTGTTGCAAATTAAGGGGGGGGGGCTCTCCCTCTGGGCCCATCCTGAAGGCTTCCTCTGTCTATTGGCTGCCTGTCCACCTGTCTCCCCCTCCCTCCCTCCATCTACCTGTATATCTGCCTCTCCCTCCTTCTGCCTCTCCCTCCCTCCCTCCCTCCCACCATCCATCCATCTCTTCCATCCACCCATCATTCATAAATCATCTCATTTATACATGCACCCGTCCCTTCATCCGCATGTCTCCATCTATTCATCCATCATTATCTATCGTCTATCTATCCGCCCATCCATCCACCCGCCCGCTCACATATTTACCTATTCCTCCATCCCTCCATCTATCCCTCCTATCTACCTACCATCAACTTACATATTTACTGATTCATCTATTTATCCCTAATCTATCTATTCCTCCACCTATCCATCTATCTACATCATCCATCCATCCATCCATCCATCCATGCCTCTTTCTGTTTCTCTCTCTCTCTCTCTCTCTCCCCCTACCCATCCACCATCCATCTATCCATCTATATCATCTATCCTCTATCTATCATATTATCTATCCTACCTATCTCTCACCATCTCGCTCTCTCTACCCTATATGGATATAGGATATTATTTATTATCTATCTATCCATCCATCCATCCATCCTGGCTTCTTTCTCTGTTTATCTCTCTCTCTCTCTCTCTAGCTACCTACCTACCCATCCATCCATCCATCCATCCATCTATATCATCTATCCTCTATCTATCATATTATCTATCCTATCTATCTCTCACCATCTCGCTCTCTCTATCCTAGATGGATATGGGATATCTATCTATCTATCTATCTATCTATCTATCTATCTATCTATCTATCTATCTATCTATCTATCTATCTATCTATCCACCTACGTACCTATCTACTCTATCTATCTATCTATCTATCTATCTATCTATCTATCTATCTATCTATCATCTATCTATCTATCCATCCATCCTCTTATGTATCAATCCATCTACCCACTCACCCACCCATCCACATATTTACCTATTCATCTATCCCTCCATCTATCTCTCCTACCTACCTATCCATCAATCTACATATTTACTGACTCATCTATCTCTCATCTATCTATTCCTCCATCTATCTACATCCATCATCCATCCATCATCTCTCTCTCCCTCCCTCATGTGTCTGGGTCTATCTACCCATCCCTCCATCCACCTATCTAGCGGGCTGGTCTAGTCTGGGGGGACGGGGCGGTTCTACTCCCCCACCCGTGAGTTGCTCTTCCTCCGTCCCAGAGGGGCAGTTCACCCGGGGGTCCCCCACGGCGTCCTGCGCCCCTTACCGGCCTGTCGACCTGCATGATCTCCCAGAGCACCTCGGCCACGTCCGGTAGGGTGTAAGGCGGCAGGCAGAAGCAGCTGGTCTGCAACAACTGGCTCACCAACTGCTGGCCCAGTTGGGTCATCACCTGCCCGATGAGCTCCTTGCGGGCCTCAAAGTCGTCCTCGTGCTGCAAAGGAGGCACAACAGAGCGGGCTCAGGCGCTGGCCACCCCCCTTCCTGCCCTCTGCCCAGGCGGCAGATTGAAGAGCCTGTTCTGCTGACTCCAGAGCCTCCAGAATCTGACAACAGTGAGGCAGAGGAGCAGCGGGAGCCTGTTCCCAGTATGCTTATGCCAGAAGGCAACAACAGTTCAGACAAAAGGGGCGACTCAGGAATAAGGCTTGGAGGTGACTGGCCTTCCCAGAGACAAAAAGGAGAAGCAAAGGGACAGGAGTCTTTGCAGGAAGCAACTTTGTTCGTTCTGGTTGGTTTAAAATTGTGCTGTTCGGCCTCGCACAGCTAATTGACAATTCAGTCATCATTTCAAGGAAGATAAAGGTGAGTGCTTATCAGATTTATCCCGAAGGACTATGGCAGACTTTTGTGGGGCTATTTACAAACTGTTGGAGACTCATGATGGGCTGTGAATGACTCTAATTCACAGCCGTTGAAATAAAACAAAAGCTTTGGTCAGAACACCTGCTCCTTGTCTAAAAGCTCAGTCAGAACACCAGCAAATAGCCCGAATCCGCCAAGGTGAACTCAGCAAAGCCAAGGCTCAAAATGAAACTTGAGACTTGCAAAAAAGAGTCAAAATTAAGCGAACAGAATCAGCTTCTTTCAACATGTAAAACAACAAGAAAAAGGTCCAAGGAAATTGCCGCGCAAAGAAACCAGTCAAGACGGTCACAAAAGGAGATTGCGTGACCCAGGGACACTGCGGCTGTCATAAATAGGAACTGGCTGACCACGGGGAGTGGCAACGGTCATAAGTGTGAAACATGGTCCTGAGCGGTCCCTTTTTTCCGGTGGCCGCCCTAAGTTCGAAAGGTCACTAAACGAACCGTTGTAAATTGAGAACTACTGTACATTCCTAATCTGTTTTTTTTTTAAGGTTTGTCACGCAAGCGACCGCCTGCAGAGGCTCCTGGATCAGGGCTGGAAGGCGAAATTTCTATATTAGGCTAGCTCGATACGCCTGCTTTGCTACAAAACTACGTGGTCGGGCTTAGCTTTGGGGGAGGAAAATAAGAGGGTGGGGAATTCTGCCTACCAGCATCCACCGGTTTTTCGTCTGGCTAGCATCCTGTCAGTGTGTGGGAGAGTTGAGGGCTGTTTGGAAACGGAAAGAGTATTGGCTGTGTGAGCAAGGAGACTGGGCGTGGCTTAGCTCAACTGTTGTGTACTAAAGCTGCTTGGGGCTGTGAAAACCGAAACTCCTCTGCTTGTGTTTTGCCTTTGGAAGATATTTCTTTTTTTCAGGTGGAGACGGGGGAGTCGAACTCCTTAGCATCAGAGCGTGTTAATAATAAGAATAATATAGGAAATACTCTAAATGCTCTGATGTTCTGTTCGAAAAATCCTTTCTTAGTGAGCCCTTAGAAGCCAAGAGGAACATAGGTGCCAAATGTCAAGTTTGTAGGCTTTACGATTCTGGAGATTTTGTGATGATGTGTGAGTGCAGAGAAGAGCAACAAAGATGATTAGGGGATTTGGCGATAAAACATATGAAGAACGGCTGCAGGAATTGTGGATGTCTAGTCTAATAAAAAAGACCAGGGGAGACAGGATAGCAGTCTTCCAATATTTGAGGGGGGGGTCTCCCTTTCTCTCTCTTCACTCTTTCTGTCTTTTTCTTCCCCCCTTCTCTCTCTTTCTTTCTTTCTTTCTCTCTCTCTCTCTCTCTCTCCACTCTGTTTTTTTGCTTTCCTCCCCCCTCTCTTTCTTTCTCTCTCTCTCTCTCTTCACTTTCTGTTTTTTCTTCCTCCATCTCTTCCTCCCTCTTCCTTCCTTCCTTCCTTCCTTTCCTTCTTCCTTTCTTTCTTTCTTTCTCTCACTTCACTCTCTGTCTTTTTCTTCCTTCCCTCCCTCCTTTTCTTTCTCTTCACTCTTTCTCTTTCTTTCTTTTCTTTCTCTCTCTCTCTCTCTCTTTCTTTCTCTCTTCACTCTTTTTTTTCTTCCTTCCTTCCTCCCTCTCTCCCTCCCTCCCTCTTTCTTCCTTCCTTCCTTCCTTCCTTCCTTCCTTTCTCTTTCTCTCACTTCACTCTCTCTTTCTTTCTCTTCACTCTTTCTGTCTTTTTCTTCCCTCCTCCCTCCCTCCCTCACATTTCGCTTTTATATAGACAGGTGAATTTAAAACCAAAATAGTTTGTCACAAAAGCGACCACCTGCGAAGGCTCCTGGATCGGGGCTGAAAGGCGAAAACGGAAGCAGGACGCTCTGTCCCGTCATTGGGCAGACCAGGTTGCCCTGACGGAATAAAACACTTCATCGTACCGTCTCTTTCAAAGACCCCGGAGCACCGGGGAACTAGAGGGAGGGCAGGAAAACACCTGATGTGATTCCCATCTTCAAACGAGAAAAAGAAAGAAAAGAAAAAAGAGGCGGAGGGAGAAATGAATACGGGGAAACTACGGAGGCGGAGCCTGGGCCGTCCGTCAGCCCCTCCGATGGAGAGTCCACAGCCCCCCCCAGGTCTGGAGGTGGCTGAAGAGGAAGAGGAGGAACAGCCGGGTCCAACGCCTGACGCGTGGATGTGCAAAAGGCAGAGAGGAGAGGAGAGCAGTGGAAATCTATAGACCGGCCCTCGGGACGGAAGAGCCACCGCTGCTAGCGAAGCCCCACTTGAGCTCTGGGGATAAAAGGCAGGGGGAAGAGATGAATAGATGTGGCGGATGACTATCCATCTGCCGGACGGAGGGACGGACGCGTTAGCCTGGGGTGTGAGAGAAACTTTTCGCTGGCGCTCCTAAATAAAGGAATCTTTTGAGTTCACGTCGGAGGGTTTGTGGTGTTTGGGGAGCCGGCTTAGAACAACGGTCTTCCCTCCCCGTCGCACCGTCAGGCTCACACGCCTACCGGACTCACATCGTTGGCCACACCGGTGTGGACGAGGTCGCGTAGGAATTTCATGATGCTGCAGTTGGCGTCCCGGTGATCCAAGGTGGTGGCGGCGATGGCCCACTGCAGGATGGGGAGAATGACCTGGCTACGCAGAAGGGTGAGGGGGCTGCGTTGGATGAACCTGCCACGGGTGGAGGAAGGAAGCGGGGTGGGGTGGGGGGAGAGAAAGGGAGTTAGAACATGTTTCTCAATGCAGCCTTGTGAGTATTTGTGGGGGAGGGGTGTTGCAAATTAAGGGGGGGCTACGAGAAGGCTCAGCGGAATTCCTTCAACTACCTCTGGGCTCAACCCTGAAGCTCCTCCCTTTCTGTCTCTCTGTCTATCTGTCTGTCCCTCCCTCCCTCCTTCCATCTGTCGGTCTATCCTTCCATCTCTCTGGATGTCCCTCCATCTGTCCATCTATCCAGGTCTGACCGTCTGCCCACCCCTCACTCCCATCATACATCCATCTCTTCTATCCATCTATCGTGTATCTCTGTGTCTATCCATCCATCCAAGCACATCTGTCTCTACCTATGTCTTAATGCATCTCTCTATTTCTGTCTCTCTTATCTATCTACAGTATATCTATCTCTATCTATCATCTATGTATTTATCGCTCTATCAATCTATCTATGTATCTATCACTCTATCTCTATCATCTATCTACAGTATATCATCTATGTATCTATCGCTCTATCATTCTATCATCTATGTATCTATCTACAGTATCTGTAATCTATCTAATGTCTCTATTTATCTAATGTCTCTATTTATCTATCTGTCTGTCTACAGTATCTCTAATCAATCTATCTAATCAATCTATCTAATCTATCTATCGTATCTCTAATCTATTGATCTATCTCTATCTACCTACCGACCTACCTATCTCTATCCTCTATCTATCCTCTATCTATCAATCTACTTATCTATCTATCTATCTATCTATCTATCTATCTATCTATCTATCTATCTACCATCTATCTATCCCCCCTCTCTATCTCTCACCTCTCTCATTTCTCTCTCTAATCTATGCCTGCCTGCCTGTCTGTCTGCCTGCCTGCCTGCCTGTCTCTCTCTCTATCTCTCTATCTCTCTATCTATCTAATGTATCTATCTACCTATCTATCTATCTATCTATAATATTTCTAATTTATCTCTCTCTCTCTATCGTATCTCTAATCTATCTATCTATCTATCTATCTATCTATCT